AAAAAACTGCAGATTCATTTCGGTTCCTTTAGAATTTTTCATCAACGCGTCTTTCCTCCAGCTTAGGACGAAAATGTGGAGGTAAGCTGTTCACATGTCACATGGTTAATCAGAAGAATTCAAAATGGACAATTTACCTTCTCGAATGTGATAATTACAAACTTGGGTCCAAAAGCATTAAGATAACATGCGAAATACAAAGAAAATCACTCACGTCATTCCGTTCAAGGCTGAGATGTCAGCAACCAAGGTATTCGAGATATCAAGTAGCTTCAAATTTGGGAGATCACGCACTACTTTTAATGCGCTCTGACAAACGGGACGTCCAGAAAGTGACAAACTTTCCAAAGCAGAAAATTGAGCGATCTAAATTCAAGCATTAAGTGGAAGAGATATAAAGTTTTCAGTAAGAAATTACTTTCAAAACTCAGATGATAAATTAAGCTGCTCCACTGTATACTCTTATATTTACTCTCAACAATACAGCTTATCTAAAGCGATGCGCGAGTTAAAAAAGCAGTGATACCGGTTTCACAGTCTTGCAGTTCTATCTTTAACTATCGAAACATAGCTCTTTTCTTTCCGGTTAGCATCTTGAAAAATGCATGAAACGAAAGACAGACTTACCCTTGCACAATTCGTCATTTTGTCATGACCTCCAATGTTTAGGTAACGTAGACACTTGAAAGTGGCATCATTAACGCATTCTCGAATGAACTCTCCTATGTCAAACGTTGAAGAATCTTAAAAAAATGTTTTATTATAGCGGAGTGGAAAATAATTGCGCAAACATACCGGACGGCCCAGCATCAGAAATTGAGAGAGACTCCAGATCAAACTGTGCCAAACGAGACAACACCACATAAGGAAAATGACCGCATTCAGATAGATCAATCTGCATTGAATAAATCTAGTCTTCATCAAGAATGGTTTTATGAGAAACAAGTCTCAGTTTGTTTGGACAATTGAGACAGATAACACAGCGAGAGATGATAAGCTCCAAAGAGCTTTTTGTGGACGATTAGTGAAGAACTCATGACCTTCGTTGGTTCAAAATTGGAGCTAGGTAAAAACAAACCTTCGTTATGTTCACTTTTAAATCAGCGAGGCGCTTAAGCCCCTTTTCATCGAGTAGTTTCA